CCCGCCGTAGTTTTTGCTTTTTCACCTTCGGTGAGTGGGCCTCGCCGCACTCCTCACCAAATGCACAAAAAAGAAAAACTGTGGCGCCGTCCAACTACCTGGTGCGTATCGATGCTTCCGCCAATGTCTCTCTCCTCGATGATTTTGGGATCATGGCAAGTACAATTGTGATCGCAAGTCACCGGCCCCCCAAAAAAAAAAAAAAAAAAAAAAAAAAAAAAAAAAAAAAAGAAGCAACGGCCTGAGTCTTGGCAAGCATGGCAAGCAGTTGACATGAAGATCAGACATCAACCGTCAAAAAAATAAGAAAATGAGAATAGAGAAAATTTCAGAAAAATGAATTGAAGAACGGAAGAACGGAATCGCAGGCCATACTCGCACACGGAACCTTCCTGGATGTATCTGGCCGTAATTACAGCCGGATTGCATATGACTGCAATTATGTTCAGAGCTCAGTTGGAAAACTCCTGATGCACCAACGGACCTATAGCTCAGTTGGTACAACCACGAACCGTTGAAATATAGACCCAAGTTCGAATCCAGCTACAATCGCACACGGGAACCTTCCTGGATGCATCTGAACGTAATTACATCCGGATTGCATATGACTGCAATTATGTTCAGAGCTCAGTCGGAAAACTCCTGATGCACCAACGGACCTATAGCTCAGTTGGTACACCCACGAACTGTTGAAATATAGACCCAAGTTCGAATCCATCAGATGACCAAAATAAATCATTCTGAATTACCTGGGGCCGGTCAGTTCAATAATGATATCTCGAGGGCGACGTCCTTAAAAAAAAAAAAAAAAAACGAGTATGGGCCTCACGGCACCACTCACATATATTATATTTGCCTTTTTCGCATTCAGTGAGTGCCGTGCGGCTAGTAGGCTCTAAATGCCTTCAGCCAAGCTGCATACCTGGATTCGTCATCGCAGAGTAGCAGTTGAGTCTGACTGGTGGACAGTTGGCCATGCTGGATTCTTCATGCATCTGCACCGCTGGTTGATACACATACTTTACGACTCGCCGAACATTTTGAATGTATGGGAACGAACAAAAGATCCAGATGCATTTAGACTGTTGTGTACTGGAGCGCGGACCCAGTCTCTCTCGTTAGTTTGGATCTACGCTAAGCAGTCTAGATCGAAATTAAACGGGCAGAGTCTTCAGTTGACATGAATCTCTGAAATGAACCGTTCAAAATATAGAAAATATCAAAGATAGAAAATATCGGCCGCGCTGCATACTCACTAAACGGCCTCCCAAAAACACCGATGTACCTCATAGCTACAAGACGCCCAGCTCCCCACGAATAGAAAACAGCAGTCTCTTTTTTTTTTTTAATTATTATTATTATTATTATTATTATTATTATTATTATTTTTAAACACCAGTGTCAGGAGAGGTATGGCGGGACCCTTAGTTTGCGTCCATCTCGAGTAGAGCATTCGAGTCCGAGGGCATACTCACACTAGGGACCTTCTTTCCATTTCTGGACGTAATTACCGTCAGATACATCCGGCTCCGGCCGTAAATGCTATCATATTGACTCGATAGATCTAGTGCGAGTACACCGTGACTGATGTGGTCTCTCGGCATACTCTCACTACGACTAGTAGTACTTTCCCAAATGTATCTGACCGCAATTACGACCCAACCTGGATGAATCTGACGGTAATAGCGTCTACAGATTACTAAAAAACGTCCTTAGCTAGTGGGAGGTGGTTGCTCATAAGAGATCTATCGTAAACGTATCAAACCGCATTTACTGCTGGACCTGCCCATAAATAATCAGTACAAAAAAGCTTTGCCCTGAGTCTGCCCTCTCTCTCGTCAGGTCAGATTTGCGCTGCAAGCGCCTGGCATCTGGCTCCGTCAGAATTCAAACAGAACAGATGACATGTTTATTGGCAGTCACATGCGTCCCTTTCATCCACAAGGGCGAGCTCCGCGCCTACATCCAAATGCAACGGCCTCAGTCCGAAGTTGACACCTGGGCCGAGGCCCCACTAGCAAAGAGGATCGGATCGAATGCCTGAATCTGGATGTGTTTTATGCAGAGATGCAGAAAAGCAGTTCAATCTCGATTTCCTGCACCTGTTCACAAACACGTCCAGATTCAGGCATTCGATCCGATCCTCTTTGCTAGTGGGACCACGCCCCTGGACAGCAGAACAGCTAACTTCAACCGTCCGGTTTCTGACACCTGGACAGCTGTGGTGTAAGTTGCAACGCACCTGTTATGAAAACAAATAATCATAATCATAATCACAATAATAATAATAATAATAATAATAATAATAATAATTTTAACATGATTTTATTTTATTTTATTAATAATAACATAACAAAATTAGTAATTAGGAGAATTCATGAAATACGTTCGGAACATTTCTGCATTTACGCGTGTCATGCATGAGTAAGCCCTGGCCATACTAAATCAATGTTCTCTGTAGAGTGCCAATTCTACCGGGGGCTAAGTCCCACTACTGGTAGGGAGGGGGGACTTCAGCTCAGGGCCGAGGTCCCACTAGCAACAAGGATCGGATTGAAGACATGCCTTACGCAAAGATGCAGAAAAGCAGTTCAATTTCGATTTCCTGCACCTGTGCATAAACACGTCCATTCGGGCGTTCGATCCAGTCCTCTTTGCTAGTGGGACCTCGCCCCAGGATGTCATCGTGCCGCGCACCACTACTCGCCAAATGTGAGAGAGGGATTTATTTTTTTATTTATTCATTTATTTATTTTCAAAAGGGCGACGACTTTGAGATATTATCATTGGAAAACAAAAAAAAAAAAAAAAAAAAAAAAAGATATTATCATTGAAGTATCCCTAGTACTAGCTCTGACCTATCAGGTCTATCTCGACCAACTACTCAATTCTGACACTCCTTACTCGTTCCAAAACCCAAAACCACCTTCCGGTTGAACTGCCTGCCTCCTGCGGCTAAGTTGGGGCTAACCGAACCGAGTGCCCTGGTTCATTCTATGCTCCTACCTCTAACCATGAGCAAAATTCCAAATTTCCTTCTCTGTCAACATTCACCAACCACGGCTCGAAGGGACAGAGGACTGAGAACTTTCGGCAAAGCGTCGAGTCGGATCTGGGACCAGATCCCTTTGTCCAAGGTCGAACCGAGTTTTTTGTGAGGATTCCCGGCCTCAAAGTTTTGTGCTTTGATAATGGATTCTCTACTTTTTCCCGAAGCAAAAAAAAGATATTATCATTGAGCTGACTAGCCCCAGGCAATTCATTAGTAGTTGGTTTTACTCGTCAAGTTCCATCATCCAGATTCGAATACTGGTCTATATTTCAACAGTTCATGGGTGTACCCATTGAGCTAGGCTCTTGGGTAGGGATTGAGTTTTATTTTAACAGTTCATGGGTGTACCCATTGAGCTAGGCTCTTGGGTAGGGATTGAGTTTTAACTTCGATTAAAAGGAGAAAACATAAAAAAGAGAGATGGCATGTGTATCTCTGCTGTTTTAGCGGAAGGATACACTTGCCAATTCTCGCGGAAGAGATGACATTTGGTAGGTAACAAGTGGAGCGAGGGCCATCGTTTGTTTCGAGAAGGACGAGGTTATCCCTGTCACAAGTTGTCAGATAGAGAAACACCTCCACTTTCTCTAATGCCAATTCCGCTCGCTCTAAGTCCAGAGAGCTCCTGACGACAGCTAGTCGACTCTCGCAAGCACGCATTTCTATAGCACATTTCTTTCTACTCGGTGCTCCGTCTGCGTGATAATCGGCTTCTCGTGCTTCCAGTTCCGACTGCACATTTCTTTCTAATCGGTGCTCCGTCTGCGTGATAATCGGCCATCGCCCTCGAAAACTCGGCCTGACATTACAAGGACTCGTCCTAACTCCCTCGATAGCATGTTCCCAATACCCTCCCCCATCTCCACGTGAGACTCTCTCACATCCACCAGCATTCGGCACAGCTCCTGCGTCCTCCCAACCTGCACACCAGATATCTCGACATATAACCCCTCTCTCTCTCTCTCTCTCTCTCTCTCTCTCTCTCTCTCTCTCTCTCTCTCTCTCTCTCTCTCTCTCTCTCTCTCTCTCTACAGGATCGAGATTGGCAGACTGTCTGCACATCAGTCTGCCACTTGCATCCCAGGTATCCACCGATGCTGATGAGAACACGGTCCAGAGGTCGGCGTGACTTGCCATAAAAAAGAGCGAGCCCACAGTCGCTACTAGTTGCAGGAGTAGCATGCGAAATGAGTGACGGGGGTAAGGTTCTCGAAGACGAACAGCGGACATCACACAACGCATTCGAAGGCAGAGTGTCATTGGAGAAGACAAGTAGAGAACAAGAAGACAGGTGGAATGCTCACAAGTCCCACCCACGACTTACCGTGGAAATGAGGTGGAGTTGAGCCGGTTAAATCAGAAGAACCGTGGAAAAATCAGAAGGAAACATAAATCGTTCGAGTTCAAAATCACAAGAAAGTTTAAGAAACGAAAAATCACGCTACCGTCTTCACCTGAATCGAACGCCCAATCAGTATAGCTTGCATTTGGCACAGCTTCCAGTCCAGATGCAGCCATAATGAGCGGGCGTTTTACTCGGTTGAAGACGGTAGTGTATAAGAATCCTCACCTCTTCCTCCGCCCGAATCCTTGCTTCCCGCTCTGTGCACAGTTGATTTTTCAACGCCGTCACAGGTTCTGCCGTGAATTCGAGATGATTTGAACCGTCGTCCGCCACCTTGGAGTCGGCATGAGTGAATTCCAGCGATGATTCCCCCGTCTGCTGCGCGCCAATGTTCCTTGAACCACGTGTGGGTGTTGCAGGAGGCCGATCTTTCTCTTTGAACTTGACAAATTCTCTGAGTCCTGATTGAAGCTGACGGATTTCCTCCGCCCCTTCAGCGAGAAGTCGAGACACTTCGACCTTCAACTGTTCTTGTTGCTTTCTAGTCTCCTCAAACGCAATGGTCACGGCGTACACCTGCATCATAACACAGGGAGGAAGGAGTGAAGGAGTGAGGAAGGAGGGAGTAAGGAAGGAGGAAGGAGGACGGAGGAAGGAGGAAGGAGGGAGAAAGGGGAGGAAGGGACGGAAGGGACGGAAGGGGAGGAAGGGGAGGAAGGGGAGGAAGGGGAGGAAGGGGAGGAAGGAGGGAGGAAGGGGAAGAAGGGGAGGAAGGAGGGAGGAAGGGGTGGAAAGGGAGGAAGGAGTGCAGGAGGGAAGAAGGTGGGAGGAAGGGGAGGAAGGGGAGGAAAGGGAGGAAAGGGAGGAAAGGGAGGAAGGAGAGAATGAGGGAGGAAGGAGGAAAGGAAGGAAGAAGAGAGGACGATTTTCATACAGGATTCTAACAATCAGGTCATCGATAGACAATGCAACCAACGATTCGCAAGAAAATGCAATCAGGGCATAGCGAGAAATGCTTGCCTCTGTCAAACAGAGGCGTCAGCATTGATTCATTTTACAGAAACAGATTTGCTTTGCGGCTAGAATCGCATTTGACGATGCCATAAATCAGGGCGAAACGCAAGAAAATGCAAAACTAAAGAAAAAGAAAAACAAATTAAAAAGGCAATAGGTGTCATTCGGTTAAATTCGTTCATTTTCAACTTCAATTTCTATGCTATTTCGTTCATTCTTAGTTCATTCCCCTCGCATTTTCTTGTATTGTGGGGGACACACGTATAGCTACATGTCATGGAAGGTTGTCATGATAATGGCACTACGTCAGAAAGTGTGTATATATATACATACAAAAAAAAGCGGCACGTCTAGTCAGTATCTTCTAGATGTGACAGTCCTACCTTTGTTTCGTATATGTTTTGCTGACCTGTGATGGGGTGGGAACCTGCAGTCTGCGGAGTTTTCCGTCTGGTGTGAGTGAGTGGTCCTCTGCCTTGATTTCCGTCACAGGTACCTTGCGGGCAGTGGTTGGTGGTCCCCACCTTAGGGGATCAGTTTCCGGGCAGTCGTTAATGCTTAACCACAACCCGGGTTAAGTTTTTTTTTTTTTTTTTTTAATTCCCCCGGAGGGGAGGAGGGCGCACCGCACTCTGCTGCAGTGCCATACAGAGGCAACGCTGAAGGGATCGAGCAAGCACGCTTACCCCGTACGACCCCTCCGTAACCCAGAAAATTTTATTTACTAATATCGTAGTGGGCTGATGGGCCACGGATCAGATATTAAACTGATGATCACAACAGATACATTATCACTTGATCTTAGCCAAAAGGCCGAGAAAGGTATACATTATCACTTAAGGGAATGCAGACTGTAAAGGGTCCAGCCTCCAAATGAGTGAGTGAAACTCCGACGAAACAGTCTGTCACAGCTCGTTTTTTGCCCTCTTCTCCTTCTATCTACGGTTTACCGGCCAGTTTTGTTTGACGATATACATACATATATAGATATAGACAGATATACGGATCCGATTGTTGGTGCTGTTGCTTGTTGCCCCCTGTTTTGTTGTATTTGGCTGTTCCTTTCCTCTTTTCTTTACCTCTTCGCCCTTTGGCTGTGTGCAAGTGGGTCGATATGACACACGGGGGTGGGGGCAGCCGCCGCTCAACCTACATCCACGTGGGCGGCCTTGTACGCAAGAGGTTCTGAACAGGGGGAGTTGTAAGAAAGAAGATAAAAAAACGAATTAGTTTTTTCTTGTTCTTTTCTGTTTTTTTCGCATTTGCGCTCTGATATTCATCTGACGATATATATACATATAATCACGACTGTGCCAGACTGTTTCGTTGAAGTTTCACCGACTCTGCAGCAGCTCGAACCCCCACAGTCTGCCCAGGATGCATTTGACTGATGGATAAGCACTCACCACGCCGTCACGACTTTGAAATAGTGCCCCTGAGACCTCTATTGCTAGCTCTCGACATTAACCCAAGAGTTAGCGATACCCCGATAAAAAATGAGTATGCGTGTGTGGGTGTGAAATGCAGCGCAGCGTATTCTAATACGCTGTTTGACACTCAGATCGCCGTTGCTATTCATTATTCCTGGCATCAGAGACAGCATCCTCCGCCTCTTCGTCAAGATCTTCATCATACTCGATCTCCACCGCAATCAATCATCCTTCCAATCATCATACTAATCGTTACCATAACTCATCATCCGCCTCCGCCTTCTTACTCCCCCTAACGAATACTTCTAGTATGGTTTTCATAGCCAGTAACATTTCATGATTGCGGGCATCATAAACAGCATCCTCCACCTCTTCCTGCTCCTATTCCTCCTCCACATCATCATCATCATCATCATCATCATCATCATCATCATCATCATCATCATCATCATCGTCACCATCATATCATCATCATCATCACAATCATCACCATCATCATAATCATCATCATCATCATCATCGCCAATAGGATCATCATCATCATCATCATCGCCAATAGGATCATCATCATCATCATCATCATCATCATCATCATCATCATCATCATCTTCGCCAATAGGATCATCATCATCATCATCATCATCCATCATCATCATCATCATCATCATCATCATCATCGCCATAGGATCATTTCTCCCGATGTCAATGATGGAACAACGGCAGGGGGATGCTTCGCGCAAGCAAGCACTAGAGGAGGGAGAAGAGACACTAGAGGTTAAGGAACGGGGAAGTGCGCAAGAGAGGAGGGAAACGTGAGTGAACAGAGGACCATTTATTCACCTTTGCATTCGGCTTCGTGTCGACGGCTGCCATGGCCGCGTTGTAGGATTCCCCATAAGCCTTCGCGCAAGTTAGGTAAGCTCTCATTTTTTTGAGTCCATCCGTGCAGAAGTATGCGGCGGCAGCTGCAGTCAGCGCAAGAGCCGATCCCGCCAACACCACGCAGCAGAGAGGACCATTTGCCAATGGCGGCTCATTCTCCATCACCGTCGCCATCATTCTTCCTTTAACACCAAAAACTCTCTCTCTCTCTCTCTCTCTCTCTCTCTCTCTCTCTCTCTCTCTCTCTCTCTCTCTCTCTCTCTCTCTCTCTCTCTCTCTCGCTTGGTCTCCAATGCGAATCAACTACAGACCTCACTATAAATCGCAGATTGCCGTAACATCCACATGTCGCCTTCCTTTCCCACCTCCCCAGAAGCTGCCGCGTGTACTGAATACTATGCGGTCGATCGAGCAGCATGCATTATGATTCAACAAAAACGTGAACCGCACGCCAGCGCACGCTGCCTCCACATTGCCTGCCCGTCGAATTTTTGTAAAAGAATACATCAGATATTGTTCTTGAATCAATTTTGCCAATCAACAACACACCGCACTATATCCTTCAATCAAAATAACGCAATCAATCCTCCAATCGATCCTTGAATCAATCCTTGAATCGATCCTCGAATCGGCAGATCGACATTGACAAGCGATGGAGAGTATCGCTAGACAGCTTGCGATATGCTTTGACCAGAGTGCGAGTCGGAGCGCCCTTGAGAGGAAGAGCTTTCCTTCTCGAAGTTGTCCAGAGCACACAACGCCAACGCCCGATGATGACAGATACGGAAAGCACGACAAAGCTGTGGAGGAAAGGGTGGGAAACCTGCCGTCGGCTGCCTGTCACAGATTGCTTACGCAAGGTGATCTTCCTACGCAAACGACGAGTTCTGAACACAGGCAGAGAGAGAGAGAGAGAAGTGAACTAGGAGTAAGAGAGGGGAAGGGAGGAACAGGGAAGCCCGGTAGAGACAGAAAAGATAGTATTACTTCAAGCACAGGCCTTTCCACAACTCGTTACTTTCAACACGCGAGCGGGCGTTTGGGAACCGTCGCCCTCAAGCATGTTCTCGATGAGAAAGTGGAAACGAACCACTCTAGGCACAGGTGGGCCAGGAGAGCGTACAGAAAGAATTCCACACACTATGAAATGAGAATTCAAAGTGAAAACGGATCACAGTAAGATTTACCAGTTGAAGACCTCCATAAAACTCATCGAAGAAATTCGGTAGCCAGCCACAAGATAGACCACCACCATATTAAGGAGAATGATCGCCTAAGGTCATACTCACACGAGGACTTTATCAACTTCTCTGAGGACGTGATTGCGGTCACGTGCATCCTGGCCTACCCGTAGTAGCGGGCAGATCCATACAGGAGAGTCCCCGTGTGAGTATGGCCTAATCGTCTTCTTCACAACGATGCTGAATCGCACAGACCTTGCAGTCTTTCTGTCTCTACTGTCTGTTCTTCAGTAACCCGGACAGAAAAGATAGACCTTGCATACAGGGGAGGAGTGCCACAGCACTTGCACCTTGCAATGCTCTGTATCAGCGACTCCTAGTCTCCATCAACGAACGACTATTCATCCTAGGTAGAAGAGGACGAGAAAAAAAAAAAACGCCCATCTCTGTCCACCCGCAGCAGGTGCCTTGCAGCCAGAGCTGTGGCCTGCGACTCGACAGCCCTTACCTCTCGCAGATCGACTCTCTCTCGCACAGATCGACAAATCGACCGATCGATTCTCAGGCAGATCTACAGATCGACTGTCATACAGAGGCCTTACCTCTCACAGATCGACAGATCAGTTCTCTTTTTTTTCTTTTTTTTTTCTTTTACAGATCAGTTCTCGTGCAGATCCACAGATCGATTATGGCGCAGATCAACAGATCGATTGTCGTACAGATCCAATTTCGCATACATTAAGACATCCATTCCTCATATCGATCTATTTTATGACTTAGAAATCTATCACTCTCCTCTCCGATGCTTCAGTCACCTCAACGACGTCTTCGCCCGGGCTTCGACAGAAGAAGAAGGATAGCGATAGAGGGAGGATCGAAGACGGAATAGTCACTAAGCACCACCGGGTACAGATCAACAGATCGATTGTCATTAACCACCAGCTTTGAACACTCAGCGTTCGATAGAAGGAAGAGGATCGAGACGGAATTGACACTAAGTACCACCAGCTTTGTACACGCGCAGTCTGTGTGGATCAGGGTGGATCAACGCGAAGAAGAGAGAACGGAAAATGCAAACCGGCTCTCTAATCAGAATGGATGCACCACATTGACCACACCATCATCATGTCACTGCCCGCCTAGTACGGCCGTTCATCCGATCGAAATTCAAACAAATTCAAACAAACGGATGGAACTATGGGTACGACGAGGTGAGGCGATGCCGTCACGCGTCACGTGCTCTGTCTCTTCTCGTTCTAGTTGTCTCAAAGCGACATAGCGCAGCTGTCGTCTCCACGAACGTGACCGTTGGCGTCGGCAATAACCGAGGACAAAGGACAAACCTACACACAACCGGTTTGCATGTTCTCCACCCTCCTTCTCCCTTCCTTCTCCCTAAGCTTCCCTCTCCTCTCCCTTCCCTCTTCCACCTCCTCTTCCTCCACCGCGTCGTCCTTGTCGTCTCCGAAGTCTTGTCAGCTTCACTCCCTCCTTTTTCATTTCAATTTTAACCTCGACCTGTGCTGACTGGGCGGGCAAACTTGCCCGACCTGTCAACATCAACAAGTAACGACGATCGCCTACACACTGGCTTCCCCTCGCGCGCGCGTTTCGTATTTCGTAATCCCCTGCCCGCTGAGGGCATCGCCACACCACTCTCGAAATGTGCAAAATGAGAATGAACTTGCTGCGAGAACATGGCCAGATACGCCCGCCACATTTTTGTCTTTATCACATTTCGAGAGCGGTGTGGCGAGGCCCTAACACACCTTCGCCCCGCCACTCGCCAGAGGTGCCAAAGACAGAAATATGGCCACTTCGTGTACCTTTGCACGTTCTATCCGAAGATACATTCTCATTTTGCAAATTCGGTGAGTGATGCCGCCAGGCGCATACACCGACCGCTTGCGCGCTACAGACCCCCCCCCCCCCCCCCCCCTCCCTCTCCACCCACTCCCTGGCCCGCAGCGGGGGAACGGGGAACTGCGCGACAAGCTCCATGCCCCGCCAAAATCTGCCTGTCATGGCCCGCAGCGGGGGAACGGGGAACTGCGCGACAAGCTCCATGCCCCGCCAAAATCTGCCTGTCATGCCACGCCCCGCCCGTCAGCCTCGGTCCCCTACACGACACTCTGCACTCTGCACGTATCTGGACTACATGGGGCCCTCGGGCACTCGAACTATGACCGTCTTTACCTCCAGATACATTTAGAATGTTCTGCAGGGGAGCTGAGGCCAATTGGTACACACACCCACGCAAATCCTGACCCGAATCCGACGAGCGAAGGAAAACGACAAAACGTTGCCCGCCAAACCCGAGCCATGTTCAAGGGAAACCGGCGGGTCAAGTGAGGAGTAGAAGTTCAAAAACAAAACGAGATTGCAACGGCCGCAACGCCCGCCGCGAGTCAAATCGACCGCCGAGCGCGAAAATCATCGCATGTAAGAAATAAAATAGAAAAAACGAAAAACAAAAATTTTAAAAATAAATAAATAATAAAAAAATCATCGCATGTCGGCCAGTTGCGTGCGATTTTTTTCCTTTTTGCGATTTGCTCCTTTGCCGTTACGGTAGTCCCCAAGGATTATTGTTATTGTAAATATCGGGATTCGAGCTCCTGGGGCAAAGTCCCACTTACCAGGATCCTTCATTCTCGACCGTAGATCGTGAAAATCAACGGCTAGAAATGAAGAATCCGGTCAAGTGGGACTTGGCCCCTGCTCTGCTAATCACGAGATGCGAGTGTTTGCTGTCTGGGGCGAAGTGACTCTGGTGGTACTATGTGACTCCATTTATGGTCACGCCTGTACGCCTGTATGCATCTGTTCGCAATGCCGTCCAGAAATAAGTAAACAAAAGATGGTGTGAGGAAATGCCCTGATACCCGTTCTGTGCTGGGAATTTTGCTATTTTTCGAATGGGAGAGAGCACACGCTATTTGCGCGGGACAAGGACACTAATTCCCGTAAACTGCGTGTCAGAGCAGCCGCGGTAAGGAGAAAGCAGAACTATAGGTAGGGCCAGCTCCACTCGTTCTGCTCACGATCACAAAGCACAGAACTGGCCAGATTCATGCTGTCAACATAACACCATACCATAAACATCATGATGACAAGTGCGCCCTACCCCCGAAACCCCATGGACAAGAGCAGGAGGGAAATACAGGGGAGTTCCCTAACTCGCTTCAAGATGAATGGGCTTTAAAAATGGGGTTCTTGGGAGGATCAGCATGGGAGGGTATCAGAATGATGCTATGATACCGGGCTGAAGGGGTCTATCAGGTATATGACGGGGTCTACTCACGGATGGCTTAGCTCTTGGGTAGGGTAGGGTAACCAGAGTTCCGCCTAGCCTTGGGTAAGTTAAGGGAAGGAGGGTAGGATGTGTCCACGGGCCCTGGCTTGCCTTGCTTAGGTACTCCAGCTGGGTAGACTCTCTGAATTGGGCCAGTAGAAGATGGCATGAGCCTCGTGTCCAAAGTTCCCGTACGGCAAGGTTCGTCTGCTTCCGCTTCCTCTGGGGCTAGGGGGTTGGCCCAGCCTTGGTGCTTGTCACTGCTGTCTAATCCAAGTTGCCCTCGATACTGGGAGGGTGATGGTCCTGAGTGCTGGTCACACTGAGGTAGGATAGTCGGGACAGGGGGTCCGCTGGGAGTATTAACATGGGGATGGGTAGGGTGGGTGGCCTATCCTGTCAGGACAACCATTGGCTGCCAGCAATCATCGTGGCTCTGGTCCTTGGCCTCTACAACACCTTGGGTTTTTCAAAAAAAAACAAAAAAAACCAATTTATTGTACTGCGTTGAGTAGTAAG